ACTTGATTGTTTGTGTTAGAGTAATCAGAGTTTTCTAAATTACCATTTTGGAAATGATAGTCCTATCATTGGTAAACAAAATCACAATATAGTTGTAGTGGAACAACACAAACTAGAAATCACATGATAAGAGTTGATAGCCTAGCAACCCCCCCCTCCCCCCCCAAATAATTATGGAGTTTAATTCTTCCTCATGGGCCAAATAAAATTAAAGCTTTCCAAGTGGTAAAGTTACCAAAAAAAGCTGGGCTGTCATCAGATTAGCCACTTTACAAACAAACTCTTTTGCACAGAAACATTTTTTGCTTGACTTTCTTTGACTAATATTAGGAAGAAATGACTCTAGAAATGAATCTCGCTAGAAAGGGACATAAACACAAACTCTCATATTTGTGTGATATGATAATGTAATGAACGAGTTATTCCACTTCCTAGCCATCTCACATAAATGCAGCATAATATTTATCATAAGTGACAAGGTGAGTGAGAATATCAATCATATCCTCTAGACAGCTTGAGTTATTAAGTGAGCCAATGTAACAGTATTACAAAACCCAGAATAACAAAGTTATTTCTCTCTCTCTCGCTCCATTTCAGCATGTGTGTATGTACATGTACGTGGAGTTTAGTGTGTGTGCGCGTAGGTGTGTGTCTGTGTTTATGTTTCTGACAGCATCAGACAGAGAGAGTGTCGCATGCCTTCCTGTTCCTGTACCACCCTCCAACCCCAGAGCCGCAGACTCAAGGCAGTTTCCAGAATCAAACAATTTCACGCAGCTACTGGAGGAGGAAATGAACTGAGCCCAGAGCAATAATAAAATTATACAAATGTTATTACAGACTCGCCTGCTACTGTCCTACTTTAATTCAAATTTGGGCACTCCAGGCAGTGCTGGTGGCAGAGACCTTCCTGAATAAATCAACATTAGCTTACGTCTAAATTATTAAGGAAGTGGGAGACTTTCTTGTTTATAGTATGAATTATTAAACAAGTGTTTAACGCTGTTTTTCTTCACGAATCCCCAAATATTAATTGCTAATGATCTTTAAGGTGTATGTTTTATCTTTTGCCCTTTCTATTCTATGCTGGGAATGGGGAATCTGAGGTCGCAAGAAATTGGTCTGTTTTCAATTAGATAAGGACGGGGTGCACTTTGAAATATAATTTTCTGGCATCTATGTGATGTGCAAATGAATCTTTGGGTATAACAATATTCCCATCATATAGCCATTGTTGGTATTTGAATGTGAATGCAAATTAATGACTCATGGAAGCAGACGCGATGAGGGCTAGCCATGCGTTATCAGTTTTCTGTTCAACATCTTGCTGACAAGCCATTCAAGATGTTCACAAACAACAGCTGAAAAAAATGTTGGTGTATTATTTGCTATCACTTTTTATTAGCTTTTCCTAATTGAGGGGTCTGAGGCAAACTTTTGAAAGTTTGTCAACATAGAGTGGATATATTTGTTTGATATACTTTCGTGAGGCGTTGTAGTGCAATGATAAACACTGTTGTGTCACAATAAGAAGTTTCTGGGTTCAAACCCTCCAGCTGGCTGGCATCCTTTGTGTAGAGTCTGTATGGTGTCTCTGGGTACTCTGGCATAAAAACATGTATAGCTCGGGCATTTGATGAGAATGGCTTCCTGTCTGTTTGTGCTAGTGGTTTGCTCAGGATGTTGTTTGGTAATTTCCAACAGTCCCGCATTTATCTAAGAGTCAATGTCTGTGTATGGAAACAAAAGTCACATATACTTTCAGGTCACAAATATTCATCAGGAAAATGTCACCTGTCTTCTTCAATGTAAGTTGAAGATGAGTGGGGTCAATAAATCCAAACCAACCAACGATCAATTTCTCATCGTCTGTTTTGAGAGGAAACAGTCAGTGCATAAAACATCAGATTTACGTACTCATTTGTTTGTGCTATATAAATGAAAGGGTGCTGGACTCAAAATACTGAAGCCTTAAGGGACATAGCCCCATGCAAGCAGGTAAAGGATGGTGCTGTAAATGCTCAACTCCAGTACACAACAGTATCTGAAGAGTCACAGTTGGAGTTAATTTCGTAGCACATTCTATACAGTTCAGTTATAGTAATAGTAGGACAACACAGCAGAAACAAGAAGGTACTAATATAGAAAAGCAAGTTATTACCACTTAATTACCAAATTAATATCGACTACTATCCAAGTAATGATGAATGATGCTATGCTGAAATCTATGTAATCAGGTAATAAAAAGCCAGAAACCACAGGTAACAATGTAGAAACAAATCAATTAGTGACAGTATAGTAATATATTAGTAACAATATAATAACCTGCTAGCAACATAAGGCAATATTATTGATGCTTTAAACGTTAGTGTATTATTACCACATTATAATGCTGGTATATCCAATGCATTCTTTTTTTTGGACGATAACGATGAAAACATTATATTTAATCTTGCGGCTTTTTCCTTGGAAACATTTGTTGTAATTTCTGTGTAATAAATAGGAGGCAAGGCTTCAAAATCAAACCTTTCCCCTTTCTGTCTAATTCCACATTAATAACCAGTTAAAGCAAAGTTCAAAATGTTTGAGCTGGAATAGTATGGATATTTCTGTGCCTGATTTCTAGTTGTAAACACATAAACGACCACATATCTGCAGGTACTCATCAAATTTTTTAAAGTTTGCTTTAATGGGACACAAACATGGAATTAGTTGAAAATGGTCACTTGGGGTTTGCAGCCCTACTCTTGGCTATTACACAGAAACTGCTGCATGTGTTCTCAGGTAATAACCACAACATGAAGCATCATTTTTGCATTGCTAATTTTAAAAAAAGAAGAATGCAGAGGACATAAGGTAGTATTGATTCCAGCATTATAATATGGTAATACTATCTTCAAATGTTAATCAATTTAAACTTATTATTGTGATGTTGCTATCAAAAGTCAGCATATACAAATTCTAATGCATACATATTACCATTTTATTATTATCAGGTTATTGTTTTGTTACCAGGATATTATTATACTATTACTAATTATATTCTAGTTATAACCAGTTGTACAAATTTTAGTATTTTCATATTACTCAGCTATAATGGGTGGTGAGAAAAGGAGTTACCTAGGCATTACCTTGGAAATTAAGTGGTAATAACTTGCTATTTCTACGTTATTACCTTTTTGTTTCCGCCTCATTACTTCTCTATATTTATTACTGATGGTAACACAAAAAGTGTTGCCATTCATTCTTAAATGCACACAATAAATAAATACTATAACTAAATCAATTTTTAAACTTGTAATACAACCCTTAAGAGAAAAAAATCATTATTAACTTACTGGGACTCTTGTTGTACTAATACGGGGGCTGCACGAGACCTAATACTGCTGTTTACTTTGCATTTGATGATCTAGATCGATTTAAATATAGAGTTGTGAAAAAGACGAACTGTCTGCAGCCTATGGCAGCATAACCTGTCCATTAAAAGCTCGTGGCTGCCCTCCCCTGGAGAAATGCAAAAGGGAACCCTTCTCACACTACGGCCAGTAGATGATGCTGTTGTCCCATATAAAGGTTGTGCTGAACCAGTGACTTTGGTATGATCCTATCAATATGGGAGTAATAACACTTTTGAGTCAGTATCTGACTCATACTTGTATTTTCACTTTGCAAATGCAATCTAGTTGCACCATGTAGACAAATTCAGTGGATGCAACAGAATCAGTGGGGCTGATCATTTCCTCCATGTTGTAGAAAAAGATGAGATAGCACCTATTTTTTCTTTTTGTGTTTTTTTTTTCAGTTAAGAAAAAAAATCCTATAATAGATCACCTCTATTTCCTATCAGAAGCGTTATCATTTCCTGTGCTTTGTTGATGAAATGAGATTACTTGGAGATATTCTCAGCGACTTAACTCACAAGGAACACACATCCTAGACAGTTATTGGGCCACAGGGAGACATTATCCATGTGTAGATGAGCCAGTACATCAGTGATCTGGACTTATCTTTTCCCCGGAGTCTACCACCTACCATAAGAAAGCAATGAGCCAAGAGGAATGGATAACAAAAAAACAACAACATATAGGTATCATTACTAGTTTTCTTATGGAGGCTGAAATATTAAGGAAGATGAATTATTAATGATAACTGAGTAGTAGAAGGTTTATTATTGCAACTTCACAGTTTTACATGTTCCAGATTGCGAGCACAATAACTGAATAATACTTGAACATAAACATAGATTAGCCAATTATCCTATAAAAAAGAGAAGATATGATATACAGCCAAGCAAACACTTACAAGAATATAGATCTATAAAACAAAAAAACAAGAAAAATATTTTATAAATATGACATTTTTACGAAATGGAAAATGATAAAAATAAACAGCAAAAAGTGGAGTTAGATTTTTATTTAACAAAAAACAAACAAAAGACATTGTGTTTCAAACAAAATGAGCTGTGTTTATTTTTCTCCAACTTAATGCTCTGACTCTGATAATAATGCTTGTCAGAGCTGTCTTACTTTGCTTGGGATCTGTAATGTGATTAATGATTACAAGGAAAGCCTCTACTTTTAATTACATATAAAGTATGAGGACCAAATGTGACACTAATCCAAAAATAACAAGGCTGCATTTTCTTCTTCTCACCGCCAATTCACTGCGATGACCTCACATAATTGGTTGACCCTACCAACATTTCCTTAACTTCATGTACTGTGGGCTGTACAATGTATGCCACATGCCAACACTGTTCCTAAATCATTTATACAGGGTGCAGATGT